CCCAGCTGATTGCCATATCTCCTGAATATCATCCTCAGACCAATAACCTTATCTGATCGTACATGTACATCTTATATGTGCAAACGAACATATTGAAATTACGAAGAGAAATTGATAACTTCTGAGACAAAGAGGGATAAATAAAATTTCGGGGAAACCCTTCCTCGCATATTCCCACTCTCATTCCCTTCCTCAATTGAAGAGTCACAATTATTAAACAGCATGGTAAAATTGAAAAGTCTTACCCGAGTTTTGATTCATAACTTCTAACAGAGTTTGTATAGCAGCTACAGCCGTCGACATGCCTGGGTCGTCCACCATACATTTTTTGAAGAACGCTACAGCCTCTGTGATTTAAAACCAAATTGATGTTATGAATTACAATCAAGTTAGAACTGTGGAAAATTTTATTCAGTAAGCTTGACTGTACCTTCGTTGTCCATCTTTCTCTTCGATACATGCTTCATGTATGCGATACATAGTGCATTGCGAGTGTCTTTTCAAAAGTAGCGCCGCTGGTCAGTAGATAGCTCACTAATTAACAAATACATAGCAAAATGTTTTCATAAATACTTTATTTTAAAAACGATAATAGCGATAATAATAACAATAATATTATGAACAATAGTAATAATATTAATATTATTAATAATGGACGAAATTTTATGTGATTCGGCCCCTTTATTAAAGCTTTGGTTTGCTACTAGTGATACATCTTTCAGCTTTAGCAAAATCTCATACAAAGACCTTCCACGCCCAAGCATTTCTCTTTTCTCTTGCCGAGATTTAATTGTGTATCATGGCTAAAACCGCGGAAAAAATCAATAAATGTAAAGCGTTCTACGATATACATAGTGTGCATGGGAAAGAGTCCACGTGCTCTTCAATGCTGCATGTATCTGTCTATCTCTCAATAAAAATCTCGAAAATTGATAAAATTGCATCTAGATTTGGGTGTGGTTGAGATTTTCAGGGGCCCTGAGGCTTTACACATGGTCAATTTCAGAGATCATAAAATTAATGTCGTTCCAGAGGCCCTTTTCTAATTAGCCTAAGAAGATGGAATCAAACATTCTCATGGCAGTTGCTTGCAGATGAGTGACTGTCTAGGGAGCTCGAAAATGCTCTTCACATGTTGATGATGAGATCTAACTAAGAGAAAAACGTCTCCGATTTAAAAAACATATCTATATCTATAAGACCTTACTAAATTTACTTGATAGCACCATATATGTGTTTCTATGTAGCTGACGGCATGCATTTTGCTATGGTCGGTGAAAAAGAAATCGAAAATTTTCGTACCTAATGTAGATCAGATTTATTTCTGAAGTTGAGGCGCATTTGATCGTTTTTAATCCCACCAAACGCATTGAATTATTATATACCATAGTGGTCGAGAAAAACTCCTTGCAAATGATGCAGTTTTCTAATATCTGCTTTGTGTTTCGTACCAAGATTTAATAAGCCACAAGTTACATAAAATTATCACTTTGCCGATAACAACATCATTGTTCTCCTTTATCAAAGACTAAAAGCCGATACATTAAAAAGCTAGAATAGAGGATATGAATGAGATACACTACAGCTCGATAATCAGCTGAATTTCCTGTCAAATCCCGATTATCAGCAGATATATTAGCTGAATGTCAGCAGTAAATCTAACTCCCATTCATCTACTGCCTCAGGCACTCACTAACTATGTGATGATCTAAACAACCGTGTCGTATTTCTCCTTATAAGGCGGTGTTTCTGTCGTAATTGAGCTGTCATTTTCGTCTCCTTCTTTCTCGTCCATCAAAACAATGTTTCCATCTTCCATCCTTAAGCTATGATGCTTACAGCAGTATATCTTGTAGTCCTCTTTCCAGGCCTCCACTTGTTCCACCGTCTGAGCCATGGGACAGTAACGTGTCTCTGGCAGCCAAAGAGCCATCACGCCCGCGATAACTCCAAAAACACCAAATATGACCAACGGAAGAGTCTTGCTCATGTTCGGAAGATCCGCCTGATTAAAGACAAACAAATTAATCAATTCGGAGTATAATCGATATTCCTTCGTTCTCTCGGCAGTTTGTGCGTCATTTATGGTGCGTTGGTTCGACCTTTATTTCGCATTCGTTCGTCAGTTCTTTCGCACTTTTTATTCGTTCGATTATTTTTTTCGCCGTACAGCGAGAGTCTGTCACTAAGAAATGAATAAAGCATCAAAGAAAAGTTATTGTTATGAAGTTCTTAACTTATTGGCTACATTACGCTGTTATACCCAAGGATTAGTTCCAACACAAATATATTACACACAAAACGCTGCGAATTCGTCTGTTGGTAGGTAATTGGTAACTACCATTGACAATGGAATACAAATACGAACCAGTAACACGATGTAAGGTGTTAAAATGCTGCCAACGCGAGCCATCATTGAACACACTCCAATGCCAGTGTTCCTGCAATGGAGAAAAATGATTATTATTAAAAATCTTCCTTTTACCTCTCCCTAACATTTGTTTGGTTTTTTGCACAAAGATAAGTTTGTAAAATCGAATTTCTGTTTGCACCATCATCGCCACTCATACCAACCTGATAATTGTGGGATAGAGTTCCACAGTGTAAATATAAATTCCAAGGAAAGTCGCCAAGATGCAAGCTTTACCAATAACAGCTAAGATTGTAATAACAACTTTATACTCTGGAGAGAAAAAATATCGATTTAAGATACGATTCCAGACAACCATATAAAAAACATTTTCCAGTCATTTTTGATCCGTTCATTAAGAGCCAAAAATAAAGCTACTCCCCCCTCATGAGATGGTAGCTCACTGCAACTTCTCTCTCCCAGCCCCCTTTCGAGATATTATTTGAGCTCCGCCAGGCAAATCGCCAGTGCTGTTTTATACTTTAGGGCAGAGAGGGAGACTATCAGTATTAAATCTGAATCCCTAAATCCCGAGTCCAGCGTGCAGCCTAAACCCTTCAGGTCACTGGGTAGGTCATGTAAGCTTTCATAAAACATCCCATCGTTCACTCCGCATAAATGCAACATATAGTTTTGTAACAATATGAGTAGTTTCTGTTTGAAATCAGCACCACTTGAAAACTTAACTTACCATCACCAGATGGAACGGCCAGCACCAACATTTCTGCAGCGCCTCCAATGATCATGAACGAGGCGTAAGGAATACGCCGGCCAAATCTTAAAAGGATGAAGAATGTCACAGATATTCAATTATTGTAAATGGTTTGCCAATTGTTGATCACTACAAAGCATCTGACTAAGATCTACTAACTCGGCTTCCAATAATGAGGAAATCAGCCAGAAGTTTTACTAGTACCGTATTTCAAAAGTGATTGTAACGAAAACTCAGAAACTGCTCTTACTGGTTTGTTAACAAGGGGATTACCGTGCATAGAAAAACCACAGTGCTAATGCTCCAGGAATTTCCACGATGCAGAGGAAAAAAAAGTTCAGGTACATGTTTCCCGCCAGATTCCCGACATTCAAACTGATCCCAAAGTAAACTAAAGCATTCACAAACCTAAAAGAAAAAGATTGTCACAGAAGTTGTGAGGACACTTTCGTTATTGTGCCCAAACCGTTATATAAAATATGTGACTTGTATATCATAGAGAGTCTCATGAGAGCGATCAAAGAATTCCCCATCCCTTTTCTTCAGGAGTGTTGTGCTTCTCTGTGATTCTTATCCAGGGAGGGAAGTGCTAGTGTCTAAAGGCTTTAAATTGTATTCAGTTTCAACTGCTACGTCGTAAAAGTCTCAAGCGATTTTTTTTTCAAGA